ATTATAATAAGTAATATGTAATAATAATTTATAAGGGAATGTGCAGGACAGTAAGTGAAAAATAAAGTTGTCTTTACCAAGAAGATCATGAATAAAACCCAAAAGCATCACCATACTATTTTCTCCCCCTTACTCATGATAAGATATGAAAAACATTCTTTATGTTTTAACAGCATTTAGCGCCCATCTGTAATTGTTTAATTAACTTAGAGCAGAATGTTAACTAGATGGAGACTTTGTCTTGGCCATGTATCTATTTGAAGTCATCTGACAAACATTCTGCACAAATAGATGCCCAACATTTGTCTTTCTGGGAAAAGTGACATTTAGCATCCTTCTGTAAAGACATGAAGACTTCAGGGGTTTTTCTGCTCATCCACTATACTGCAAAGAACAGTATTCACATGCTACCCCTACTGCCAAGATTACAGTAGTATCAATGGAAAGCAAGGAATTGTGTAACTTTTGTCTGCCTCATCCAAACAGAATTAAAAGCCTAACCCAGCTAGGGGTTAGCAACATACTAACCTTAGGTCCATAGAAAGCTCCATCGCCAGGGTTTAACTCCCACTTCTCACCAAAGTTATTGAGGCTGTTTTCGAGTTGCTACAGATAAAAGACACATACACTCAGTGTTTCTCAATCATTTCCTCTCTTTCCATGTCACAACATCAGGTCAGCCCGCTGCTACAAATATGTGACACTACCAATTCTCAGTGCTTCTCAGTTACTGCTGCAACTCATTTATTTTCTGAAAAAGGAAAGCTTTGGAAGAGCCCCAGCTAAAAAAAATTTAGTCCAAATTTAAACAAACAAAATTAATGCAGTCATTTTGGAAGAGGCCAAACAAGCAGCATTAGCTAAGATGCAAGAAATCTTTATGCTAGATTCAAAGTTTGTAGGTAATATTGAGAGGGGATCCACCCTGATACACCTAATATCTGTTCCTGCCCTATCTTCTCCCCAGCACTGCACCTGTAGGGGCTAACCCCATCCCTTTAATCATGAAAGCAACCTGGCTTTTGGAAGATGGCTGTAAGTCTTATTACAGGGGCTGCCAGAATTGGTTCTCTTCCTCCTTTTTTTTTTTTTTTTTTTAAATTATCAAAAAAATACAAGGAGAGAGAAGGAGAGAGAGGTAATTGATTATGACATGGAGACTGCTTCTGTATGGAGAGTGGCTACTTACAGCAGCCAGACTGAATTGAAGAGAGTTATTAAAGTTATACTGCTCATGTCCAGCTGTCACTGTACCTCCCAGAAGGCAGTATGTTCTTACAGGACTTCCAGCTGCAGCCTTGCTTTCACATAAAAAGTTAATAAAACTACTGTTTACCCTTTCAGCTTGATCCCACACTTCAATATCTCCCAGGTAGTTTTCAGGACGCGTGGAGAGATTCAGTTTAAAGGAAAATCCAAAGACATCATACACAGTACGCAAGAACTGCAGACAACTCTTTATCTCCTCTTCAATCTTTATGAGAATAGAAATAAAGTCTCAAATATGGAAAAAATCGGTTAATCTGATTTTAATACCCAAGTTCAATTAACAGCAGCCCATACCTGCTCTATAGTACAGAATATATGAGCATCATCCTGCTGGAACCGACGTACTCGAGTGAGTCCTGTAAGAGCCCCTGACAGTTCATTGCGATGCAGAACACCAAAATCAGCCAACCGTAATGGCAGCTCACGCCATGATCTTGGACGATGATCAAACATAAGGCTGAAGGAAAAGTTTATTACTTGAAGCTCATCCAGAATCAAAATTCTGCAAAGAACAGCCAATGAGAAGCAGCCAGTACCTAGGCAGATGCCCATAATGCAAATGATGTAATCTGAATATAACCATCATTCGCATTGAGTTTTGTCAGGAAAAAATGCAAATATCCTTTTATAGCTAGTAGGCTGCCCCCACCTCACAGAGAGAAGATAAAACAGGTCCTAAAACTGAGCGTTCAAACCTGAAAGCCTAAATTGCCACAAAATTGACAACACCCCCATATCTATTTTGCATATCCAGGTTCTGGAGTACCAAGGTAAGCTTCAGGTCTAAAACACAGTCACTACAATGATGGAAAAATGACATTTCTCAGTGTCTCAAGTAAAGAAAGCATGTAGATAAAAAGACTTGTAATTACATCACTCCTGACAGCATATCACATCTGGATACCTGAAGATAGCCATCTTTAAAATTGCACAGGCAAAAGAAACAGTGTTTGGGGTTTTTTTTTTTTTTTGAATCAGCATCATCTTTGGTAAACTGGATTGGCTATGTATTTACCAGTGTCCTGGACAATTCATAGGCTTCAGAGCAAAAATTTCTTTCTCCACTTCAAAGGAAAACATGTTGTCACTGTAATGCTGCCAGTGCCCCGAAGTCATCCATAGTTTGCTGTTGAAAACGTTTGGAGTGACAACCTCCTGGAATCCACGTTTTCGATACTCACTCTAAAAAACCAGACCCAGTATGTAAATTAACTAATAAAGCAAACAAAAGTAATGGTACTCAGCCTTCAATATGCAGCCATAAAAACATAGAAATGCTGCCCTACAAATGTCCATGACTCGAGAAGAGAAGGAAAGAGAAGAGGGAAGAGAATAGGGAAGAGAAGAGAAAAACTCAAGCTGGACATGCCAGGATACCTCCCTTCCACCAGCACCACCCTTCCCCAAACAATTCCTCTGTAGTAAGCAAGAAGAACAAGTTTTCTCCCTGCAAGCAAAGCAGCAGTCTCTAATTATTCAATGACACTTGGTAGTACATTGCAGCCCAAACATACAGTAAGAGAGACTTTCAATATTACAACAGGAAGATCTGGATTCCCACCCCCACACCCCCCCGCACAATTTCATAACAAATATTTCTACAAGGTAAGTTTATTAAAACAAATCAATTATGCATCAGTGGAGCAGCTACAGTGTGAGCTTAGCTGTACTATTAGATGTCAAAGAATTCATACTATGGAGCATCATTATCACTGCTTTAACTGCAGGTATAAAATATTGATAAAAACGTAACTGAGCAGAGACTGTGACAAGACCAACAGGCTTCTTTAGTTCCGTGGCTTACAGAACTAAGAGATTAAAGTAACTTGAACTGAAGGGCTGTTAATACTGTTACATGTAGTATGCTGTTATGTATTTTTCTAAAATTAAGCTATTTCTTCTATGAGAAGATTTCCAAAAGACATTACTTACCCGGATGAATTCAATTAATGTGTTATAAATGTAAGCTCCTTTTGGCAAGAAAAAACAGCTACCAGGGCTGAGCTCATGGAAGAAAAACAGTTCTTGGTCCTGCAGAAAAATTATATTTGAAAAACTTAGTAGCACCAAAACTTCACGTTTATATGCAAGTCCTAACTGTGCCCCCACAGCTCCCTTTGTACATTGACAAGTAATGTTTAGTTCTGCTTCTGCAGCTAATTATTTGCAAGTGAACTGAATGTGTGAACTGTAGTTGGCTAATGCTGTGACAAAGTGCACATGCTTCAGGACTGCATATAGTGAATTCTGTATATTTTCCTGATCTCCTAGCAGCAGACCTTGTAACAGTGTTGAGGACTATCAATTATCTGACAGGGGTTTCCATCTAGAAAAGAAAGCCAAAACCCAACCATCCAAAAAAACATAGAAATGTATTATGGATTCTGAAATCACACAGAAGAAAGGAACTGTGAGGGAACAGGCTGCAGCAAACTGCGTAGGAATGAGCGTTGCCTGCAGACCGAAGTGTTCATGTTTTGCAGACTGACATGTTCATGTTCTGTTCTGACTGATCTGTGAAATAAGGATGTCATCATGTTTAAAAGAGTGAAAAGTCTAAAGAGAAGTTATTTGCTCCAGGACTTTTGATGCTCTTTGAGAGAAAAGTACCTGACTTTGCAACTTGACTGAAAATACAATTGTGTCACATCTTGGTTGTGGCAGCAAGCATATGCTGTCTTCAAGATGCACCTAGTTAAGGGGTTACATCCACACAGTGTTTGTGAAATACATTACCAGAAAAATTGTCTCACCCGCCCAATTTTTCTGTGATCTCTGCTTTTAGCCTCCTCCTGGAACTTCTCCCATTCCTTCAGCATTTTTGCATCTGGGAATGAAATTCCATAGATCCGCTGGAGGGATTCCATATCAGCCTTGCCTTCCCAATAGGTAGAAGAATTCTGCACGCAAAAAATAAATGAAACACTGAAGAAAAGAAGGAGCCTCCATATTTTGCTACTACTGCCTGCTATGAGAAGGCATACAATTATTAATAAATCACTATTCGTAACATAGAACAACTAAGGCATAAGGAGAGTTTTAATCTTAAATTCAGAGCACCAATTAGAAAAATCCAGGAAGAACAGGTGAACAGGATATAGAAAATGGTTTCAAGCTCTCTCACGTCTCTTTTTTAAACATATTTGCTCTCTTTCTGGCCATCGTATTCCAACTGTTTATTCACACTCAGCTATAACCATCAGCTGAGCAAAAACTATAAACTCTAACTGATACAGTTCAAGCAAGCCTTAAGCCACACTCATGTTCCTATCTGTGCTCGAAGTGCAGGCCCTGGACACCTAGTTGGGCTCCACACCATTTGAATATCATTCTAGCACACAACCCTTTCCCAATTTGTTACACTGAGTCTTTGCCTAGCTTACCCATTTCACAGTACATTCTCAGATAAGCCACTATCATATTACCCAAAGACAGCAACACATTTTCAGTGAAAACATTTGTCTAAGGCAGTTTCAACGCTTACCTTATGAATTTTTATGGTCTTTATCTTGCCAGTGTGTCTGACATGAGGCCCTCTGCACAAATCTATCAAGGGACCACACCTAAGAATAGGAAAACAGTAGTTTGGCATATTTCACTCTAGAAAGATATATCCAGTAATATTGTGATACATGCGTAATTACCTGTATATGGTTGTAGTTGGAGTATTGACCTTCTCATTCAGGATGCGACACTTGAATTTGTTATACTGGGAAGAAAAGCAGCACACATATTTGTTAACTCCTTGTTAAGCAAGAGGACTGGCCAGCAGTTAAAGGTATCTGCAAACCTGATGTTATGCTGCATCAGAAGAGGATTATTAAATACAGACAGACAGATAGTCAAGTAGTGGAACAAGCTGCCCAGAGGGCAGGTTGTGCAGTCTCCATCCTTAGAGGCTTTGAAGGGCCAACTGGACAAGCCCTCAGAAACCTGGTCTGACTTCAGTGTTGACCCCATGCCCTCTGCATGAGACTGGACCTGAGACCTACAGAGGTACCTTCCAGCCTGAATGACACTATGATTCTCCTGATGTCCTAACAGTGAAAACTGACTAATGTCGATCTCAGGAGTGCCAGAAATTATTTGCAGGTAGGTACTAAAGAGAAAGGATCAGCTTTTAGTGTTGCTTGGACTTTCTCCAAAGTCCTCATTCTGAAAAAATGTTTTATGAAGCTTTCTGAATGCATCAGCACATGCAATTATAGTATCACCACAGCATTTTACTAACAGCCAATGTAATATAAGCATATAACATAACTGCACATGATATATGGCAAATTTACATCTGTGGGAAATAAATGAAGAATGTGGCTTCAAAGATTTTAGCAAGGTCACTGAGGGGAAGAATGAGAATCCTTACATTTACAGGAAATCTAATGCACATTCCCAAGAACCTAAGAATTACACCTTCACTCATTTTTTTGTTAAATAGCACAAATAAGCTTATAAGAACTTATCACCTTAAAAAGTTAATTGGATAAAAAAAAAAAAAAAAAGCTGGACATGAGCTGGCAATGTGCGCTTGCAGCCCAGAAAGCCAACTGTATCCTGGGCTGCATCAAAAGAAGCGTGGCCAGCAGGTCGAGCGGGGGAATTCTGCCCCTCTGCTCTGCGGTGGGACCTCATCTGGAGCACTGCATCCAGCTCTGGAGCCCTCAGCACAAGAAGGACATAGACCTGTTGGAGCAGGTCCAGAGGAGGGCCACCAAAATGATCCAAGGGCTGGAGCACCTCTCCTACGAGGCCAGGCTGAGAGAGTTGGGATTGTTCAGCCTGGAGAAGAGAAGGCTGCGGGGAGACCTTATCGTGGCCTTCCAGTACTTAAAGGGGACCTACAGGAAGGATGGGGACAATCTTTTTAGCAAGGTCTGTTGTGGCAGAACAAGGAGTAATGGATTTAAACTAAAGAAGAATAGATTTAGACTAGACATAAGAAAGAAATCTTTTACAGTGAGGGTGGTGAAGCACTGGAACGGGTTGCCCAGAGAGGCAGTGGAGGCCCCATCCCTAGAAACATTCCAGGTCAGGTTGGACGGGGCTCTGAGCAACCTGATCTGGTTAAAGCTGTCCCTGCTCATGGCAGAGGGGGTGGGCTGGATGATCTCTAAAGGTCCCTTCCAACCCAAAGCATTCTATGATTCTATGATAGCACTTCCTCTACCACTAACAGAACATGAGGCTAAAGTTACAAATACTTAAAGAATAACTACACGATGTGACAAACAACCTTCTAAAACAGCCTACCTTAAACATTTCAAGTAGGGTTTCCTTCTTAACTTCCAGTCTTTCAAAGGCTTGTTTTTCCTTCATTATCTTTTTGCATAACGTTTCCAGAGCAGAGAAGTCATTACTTGATACACCTCTAAAATAAACACAAACAAAAAAGTGAATCATTCTTGCTTTCACTTGCAATTTGTGATCCAGTTGCAATGCACTAGCTTGTGGATGGGACACACTGCAAAGAACAAAGCAGTCTGCAGTAGTGCAGATGACTTTGTTCCGGGAACAAGCAGATAACAGAAATTTTGCTGTGACTGCTATCCCCCTGCTCTGAAAAAAAAAAAAAAAAAAAAACCAAAACCAAAAAACCCCAAAACCTACCCTTCCTCAAGGAACATGTCATAATAAAATCCATTTTCTATTGGTGGGCCATAGCACAAACAGCCACCATAGATTCGCTCCATAGCTTCACCCATTATGTGAGCACTTGAATGCCAGTATACCTAATGGAAGTAAAAAAAAAAAAAAAAAAAGAGGGGATGAATCTGAATATGCACAATGCATTTCTGAATATTTTATTTAAAACCTTTTCTGAAACATTTGCTTTTAAGGATACTTGATGCAGATCCCACATTAGAGTGGTCTGCAGAACCGAAGTGACCTGCCCAGCAACACTCTCATCCTAAACACCAGTATTTTCAAAAGGTAATGCTGGAAAATTGTTTACAGCCTGGTAGCAAATAATTCTTATTTTCAACTATTGTTGAAATGATTCAATCATTTTCAAGAAGTCAGGAAACTAATTCAGAAACCTTTTTTTCTATGAACTTCAACCAGTCAGCTCTGCATAAAGACCAAAAGGTGTGCTTTCAACATAAGGCTGTGGTCCTAATCCAAAGATTTTATGCGTGGGAAATCGTGTACTGAAGGAGAACCGTTCATAAAGTTAAAAATTACACTCCACCTTGTAGTACACCTCAAGTTTTGACAAATTAAAACCAAATCCATAGGACTTTAGTCGGCTTTTATTTGCACAGACTAGAAAACATAAATCTCACAGGAGCCATCATTTAGTCAATATGAAAACCCTAAGTTTGAATGCAAGACCTCTGTGATGAGTCTGACTGACAGCTTCTTGTACCAAATTATTTTTTCTAAAGAGAGTATCTACAGATTTGCTGGATATCCACATTCATCTGAATGAGCAGCCAAAACCAAGTACGTACTTTTGCATGTTTGAAGTAAAAGAGCAGCCTACTCAGTACTTTTATGATTGTACATAGACAGTACTTTTGTACTCAGTCTTGTTTTCAAAGTCAGTGCTGAAGAGGTCAGTTCAAAAGACCTGCTTTAACATGAAGGTTGCAAATATAAAACTTTAACGAGAACAGACTTGACAAAAACTACAGCAACTGCTAGCAGACTTCGCTACAAATACAGGGCAAAATGTACATTATCTGCAGTACCACATCTCCCTTGTAAGGAACTATTAGAAAATGCAGATGCACCTACACAACAAACCTGTTCCCATCTCCTCATCTTTTGAACACAGTAAAGATGCAAATTGGCTGAGTTTAATGCAAATCCAACGGTAAACAAATTTTGGTAGAAGATACTCACTGCTTGAGCCTCTTCATCTTCAAACTTAAGCAGCTCCAGAGTACAATCCTCCTCCAAAGGACGGTCTAGATCCCAAACCATCTTGTTCACTTTAGCAATAACAGTGTTGTCAGCTAAGCCCTGACTACAGAATAAATACACGGCATATAATCTTTTGAAAACAGCAAGTAGAAGTTCCCCAAATTTGCCCTCCATGTTGAATAAGATTTTCAGGAGTGCTCAGAGTGGGTACAACGTTATAAATAAATTCAAAATAAATGAACAGTTTAGCCAGTCTCGAACATTTACGAAAATCCTATTCACATCTCAGAGATAAGGGAAGAAAACTGTGCTGTATAATTGATACTCATACATTCATTGACATATTTGACTTAGAGGCAGCTACCTCAAAGTACTAACCTGACTTCAAAATACTATTGCAATAAAAGGCAGAGCTTCTCTTTTAAAAATCACCAAATATAATTTCTGATGCAGTAAGTTTACGGTTTTGTTTCCACTAGGCAAAAAACCCTTTCCTTGACCCCAGATCACAAAGGGAAAGAAGATCCCAATGACAAGGCACCAAATCACGAAAAACAAAAAGGCATTTCACCTCTAGGAATCACCCACTTTTTGTAATTTTAACTGTTGAGTGTCCAGTGTGCATTGTTCAAATCCACTCCACAGCAAGTTTGAGTAGCCCAGAGATGTGCAATGCTCTTTTTGATGGGCATCTCCCAATGCACTTAAGTGAAAGATACTCATACTCTTAACTCTCTCTGAAATCAACCGAAACATCACCCATCAGTCATCTTCCCCAAGTCAATGTAAACTAGTTTGCATGTGCTAACATTCAAATTAGTTCTTAATGAAACAACAGTACTTGCAGGGAAAATTATGCAAGTAATGTGTGACCAAAAGATCTCAATTATGTTCTTATTTAATTTTAGAAACTGTACCTTCATAAGGCAAAAAAATTACACTCCAAAACTCAAAACCTATTGATTACCTCCAGTTTATTATATACAAGATGCCTTGAGAAGAGCTGAGATAAATGACTAACAGAGGAATTATACATTACCCATACCCTCACAGCCACCACCTGCAGACACAGAGCTGTCTGAAAATGATTGAGTATATCACACAATAGAATCATACCTAATTCCACAAGCGATTTGGTAAGGAGTAGTCTTCCAGGATTCAGCATCAACCTGCTTGCCATCGGGTAATGTAACTTTAATGGGTTTACTGTCATTTGCAACTCTTTCTGCAAGAAGCGCATCATGTTCAGCTTTAAGTTTATTGTACATCTCTAAACGCTCATTGATAAATGTAGGCCAGGGATTCAGCTATATATAATCAATAAAGAGAAAGGAAAAAAATCAACAGATTTATTAGAGTAATCTAATATCACATGTCAAGAATGCAAACAGAATGGATATACTTTTTACAAGCAGCTATGTGACCATATCTATATATGTGTTGTATATTAGAAATAATCATTATTATTACAGATTAATTATACAGTATTAATTATATAGTAATAAGACTTCAGCTTAATGAAAATTATTAACTTTGAAATGTACTACTATGCACCTGTTTAATAAACTACATATATGTTAATATGCTACTACATAGTTTAATAAACACCTGTTTAATAAGCTACACAAGGACAAAAATCAATTTGAAGACTGTAGAAGTTAAACATAAAAACAGATTTTTCTTATTAGGTTAAAAAACTGAGGGAACACCTCTACTCTGAGCCACGTGGACTGGAACTGACTCCAGCCTACACATCATATAATGACATCAGGGCTATCAGCTTGGGCATAACCAAGGTTATACAGCTATGCATTTGGCTCAGGATTAGTGCCAGCTAGCAGCTGGCCCTCTCTGTGCACAGAGGGATCTGTGTTTACCCACCACAAAGACAGAAAAGCCAGAGCACCTTAGGCAGGCTTTCCTCAACCCAGAGATCTGCTGCCTACCTCCTGGTGCAAACAAGAGACAGAGTGAAAAGAGCAGCTACGGAAATCAGAGTCACTCTCGCCAATATAACTTGGTGTACAAAGCAATGAGGTCGCTTCATAGCAGACTTTAGTAAAATAAGAAATAGCAGGAAAAGGAGTAACTGTAACGCCAGATAAAATGCTTCCGAGGGACGAACTGCAGCAGTAGACAAGACAGCAAGCAGGAGACTGTACCTCCCAACCCTCCCGGCGGCCCAAGGGCAGCTCACCTCTGTCTGCCCTCCATCGCCGGCCCCTTCCTTCATCTTCTTCTTTCCGCAGTCTGCCTTTTTTCCTCCCTCAGCATTTACCTGAGGAGGGCGAGCACCATTTCCTCATTCTCCAGCAGCCGCTCACACCTACGGCGCTTTAACCCCCCTCAGCCCCACACACCAGACCCGACCCCTCCGCCCCGGGAAGCCCCAGCCCAGCTCCCTGCTCTTTTACCTCCAAGTAAACCCCACCGCCTTTCGACCCTGCCTCCCCCACCCGGAGCTGGGGAAAC